TCTCCACTGGAAATTCACATCAAATTGTCTTATTTTTTGGCCAAAGCTGATAAAAATTTGTAATAGTTTGTTTTTAACCTTTTATTTCTAATCCTTTCCTAAAATGAAATAAAATGAAAATTAAATTCCAAAAGTACTGATGTTGACTTTTAATGATTTTTAATTCACTGAAAATTAGGCCTTTCCCCTCCCTATTAAGTCTGGATATAAATACATGGTACATAATATTCTAAAGAGAGAAGAAAATGCTGACTATTTCTAATTACCTAATTTGTTTGAGGGAATCACCAGTAGTCCACAAAGTGAATTAATGTGATCAACAAACTCAGATGCGTTGTTCTGCAATTTATGTAGAATTCCTGATAACTCTTTCAGAGTTTGCCAATATGTCCAATGATTAAAGATATTAGGCCCAAAAGAATTCTCTATCTTTGCTTTTACAGTGTAAGAAAAGTTACAGGAATATAATTTATCCATTAATCAAATAAAATGTTTCTATAAATCACTGTGTTAATGGCTGAGTTAAAGGCTATGCCTGTATCATGAAAAGAAAACAAAGGATGTTGCCAAAAAGAGATGTGTGCTCAGCTGATTTGACACACCAATGTGTTTAATTTCAGCCTTTAGTCAAAACTGGTCTAGATGACAGACTCATTCTCCTGATCATTTAATTTTGATCTATTAAGACCATCGATTCTACTTGATTTTTTTCTGTTCTTTTGATTTCTTTTTTTAACAGCGTTTCACTCTGCTGCCCAGGCTAGAGTGCAGTGGTGAGATCATAGCTCACTGCAGCTTCAAATTTCTGGACTCACAGGATCCTTCTTCCTCAGTCTCCCAAGTAGCTTGGACTACAGGCATGTACCAGCAGGGCTGGCAAATTAAAAAGATTTTTTTTGTAGACATAGAGGCCTTACTATGTAGACCAGGCTAGTCTTGAATTCCTGGCTTCAAGGGGTCCTCCTGCCTTGGCCTCCCAAAGCACTGGAATTGTAGGTGTGAGCCACTGCACCTAGCCTCTTATGCCATTTCTAGTCTTAGAATGCTGTATGAGGTTGGGGACCTTGCTGGATGGAAAGTGTGTGACTCTACCTATTTCTATTTCTCTCTGGTTCTGTTGTTCCTGTATATTCCTGAACTTTTGGTGAGATTGACACTAGCCAAAGTTGAACAGAATTTCTTAATTTTCAATTAAAATTCTAATAAAGGTTTTTCTTAATTTGCTCAAGGTAATGCGTTAGAAGTAGCAGATTTTTTTTATATACATGTGTTTAAAAAATCAAGGTTATTTAGGAACAATTACAATCAGATGACCTTCTGAAATATTGGCGTACCTTTTGGAGATACTTTACTTTCTCCTCAGATTCCTGAATCTTTAGGGCTTCGGCAAAGAGGTCTCTATTTTCTAGAGGGAATAAAGTAAAATTCAATCTGAAATGATTTAATCGTGAATTTACATTAAAATTGACATAAAATTGGATATGGGTTGAAAGGGAATACATAGAGTAGGAAGGCAAACAAAAATACATGTGGCGTCTTGAGACTTTGTAAACGAGATTTGCAAATAGTTGGAGACTGAATTAAGTAACTGCAGCTACGGCTGCAGGGACCTCGAATCCTTTAGATGATGAGTAAGCTCAAGTCCAAAGTCAAGGAAAGATCTCCAGAACGTATCTGCAGGATCAGAGATTCCAATTTCTACATTCCTGTTCATACTGGTAAAGGAATCTAGGCATTGTTGTCTGGATAAACAGAGTGGTCCCTGAGCAGGGACCTAGGTGTACAATTCAGGAAGTTACGCCACAGCGTAAAGTAGCACCCTTGTACTTACTGTCTATTTTCTGATGAACCAAGGAGTCAGAAAGTTGAAAGGCATAAAACTTGATACTTACTGTTATTCGCAAGGTGAAAAGATTGTGAGGAGCGGTTTTTCTCTAAAAAATACAAAAAGAAAGTAAAGGATTCATTGGAAAAGACCACAACATTAAGGGTTTTTGAATTTTTATACCTGTAACGATTGCATAACAGTTTCCACGTTCGAGGCCCCATGAAGGGCTTACAGGTCCGGAAAGTTTATTTGTAATGTTGACGCCACCTTCATCTTTCTCCTGGGCTTTTCATGTTTGAATTCAGTTGTGTAAACTATCCTTTCAGCCAACGAATACCATTTCCTCAGATTATTCTATACTCTTTACAAATAGATGCCGTAATTTACGGGAAACTTACGTGTTTTCAGATGTGACAAATGTACCACTGATCCTTTTCGGGTGGAAGGATTGCTGCGAAGGTTCAGGAACTATTTATACATGTATTTGTATGTACCTATGACTATTTGTATATACCAATGCAGTTTTTCCTGGAAGGGGCTCTGGTATCCTGCTGGCGGGTTACGGTGGAGGCAGGTAAGACAGGAGGCCGCTACTCTACTCACCGGACCTTCTGCTGCTCCGGTTCCCGGCCACCGGCAGACGCTGACTGCTGTCTCTGCGCAGCAACAGCTGAGATTCGCTAGGGGGATACATCGATGCCGAGATCCAGAACTGCTTAGCCAAGTTGGCATCTTGTTCCGAGGAGCCGGCAAATACCAGTAATCCCGGGGGGCAAATTTCCTGGGACTCCTTTTGGCCGCTAGGTTCTTCACTGGGTCCCGTTTCCATGGCAACTGAGGACGCTTCTCCAAGCGTCCTCGCCCCTCCCCCGGCCCGGCCCCCGCCCCGCCCCTCCGAGAACCGCCGAGTTGATACCAGCCACTGCCCACAGCTCTCGATTTCCTATAGGTAGGTGTTGGTGTCCGCCACGAGCGTGGGGGCCGTCAGTAAGCCCACCCCTGCGGTGGACAGGTTTCGGGACCAGTCCAAACCTTGGAGACGGTATGGGAGAGTCAAAACAACTTTGGGATGTGTCCTGTCTTGTTGGAGTCAGTGCGGGAGTACTTTAGCTTCCTATATCCTCAGTCGGCATGCCACATCCTCTCCCCTCCCCCCAAAGAGATAGTTAAATAAACTTTAGATTCCTCAGCCCCGTCACCCCAATGCCCCTTTCCAAACCAGATTGCCAGGCACAGCACCTGCTAGGTGGAAGTTCTCAGAACGTTGCTTGGAGGATTGATGGGGGTGGCTGAAAGCCTAGCCCTTGGGAGCTAGAGGCTTGAACTGGGTAGATACATGCCCATGCGTATAGTTTCTGTGATTTAAAAATTCTGAAACCTTTAAGACAAATCTCAGGAAACAAGCTGGATTTAAAGTGTAACTGCATTTACTAATCACTCCCATTAGCAGTTGCCTAGACTGTAACAGTTGTAAATGATTAAAGAAGGGATATATCTTAATGAGTGGACAGAGTCTCTTCACAGAAAAAAAAAAAAGTATGAAAAATTTTGTTAATGTATTCTTATAAAAGTATTAACAAGTGCGTGTGTGTGAATAGCTTTCCCGGGAGATTTTTGTTAAGGCAGGAACAACCTAACCACTTCATTGATAAGTTAAAATTACTGTGGCAGAAACTGAGATGGACATCAGAAAGCCAGTTTAGCAAAGGAAACGGACATATGGTGATAACCACAATTTATGTCTTTATGACATTTTATTCTTTCAAAATAGTCTAAAAATATAACAATACAGTCTCAGTTAATAATCACATGTTCATATAATTACATCAATCAGCTAAGAAAAAAATCCTATTCCCCATTATGTCTAAAATTTTGGTTAAGAGCCTGAAGGAATATTAACAAAAAACAAAAACAGAAACAACCCACATACATACACGTTACATACATCGTATACTTAGCAGCTAAAATGTTGATTTTTTTTTTCTCTTGGCTGAGCAATTGATAATGGATGAAATCAACATTCTCCAACACCCTTCTTCCCCAAGCACATTGATGATGTACACGCAGCTCATTTGGATGAATTCCCAAATCTTTTTACCTGGCCGTGTGGTTAGTGATTGGTACTATTAGCAATCAGCTAACTACACTGCCTAGTAACTAGACTCATAGAAAAAAAATTGCAGTCTCAAGTTGGTACCCCCACACGTTGTAATAGGCAATTCATTGGTTGAGTTGGAGCTCCACTGAGTTGCTGGCTTGGTAAATACTAGATAATGGCAAATAGACACAGTGAATCATAGCATACAGTATTAACCGTTACATGGGTGGAGGGGCTTCTCCTCCAGGGACTTCACTTTCCTGGCATGAGACTGTTCCATCTTCTGTGACTCCTAGAGAGAGCTAACAGTTAACTGTATTTGGAGAAACCGCGGGTTTCCTCGCACTTGGAGCGCGCACTCGCGGAGCAGGCCTGCGCCGAACCCACGCCGACGCCGCGCTTTTCAGGCACCTTCTCTCGAAGGCTGCGGGCGGCCAGAGCCGGCGTCCTCCTCCCAGCCTGGCCGCGGTGATGCTGTGCCTTGTTTTGATGGCAGTGGAGTTAGTGATTGTAACCAGCACAGTACAATCAGCTAATGACACTGCCTACAAACCGAGCACCGGGCGCCCGCGGCTGCAGCTCCCGGACGGTCCGCGGCGCCGACGCGGGGTCGCAGGGTGGGGGCCCTCCTCGGACCCCATTTCACCCGGGGCGACGCCCGACAGTGGCTGGGCGCGAGGCCCGGGGAGAGCGGCCCCCGAGGACGCCCCCCGAGCCCATTGGCACCCCCGCTTGCCTCGCCGCTCACGCACTCGTAGCCCGGCCAGCGGGCGGCGCTGCGGGGGAAGACCCGCGCCCTCCAGGGCCGCGCCCCGACCCCTGACTCCCGGGAGTGCCGGTCTCCCTTCCCGCAGCCTCCCGCACCTCTCTGGGCCCTCCCGCTCAGGTCCCCCTTCGCCTCCTCCACCCGGGCTCCCACTTCCCGCACGCCCCGCTTCAGTTCCCAGCCCGAAGCCCTAGAGCCGGCTCTCTAGACCCCGTGCGCCCTGCAGCTCCCAGCGGCCGAGTGACCGTGGCGGGGGCGGCCAACCGCCCTTGGAACCCCGCGGGCCGAGGGCGGGGCGGGCGCGAGACGGGGCGGGGGGAGGGGTGGGGGAGGGGAGGAGGCTGCGAGAAGGGGCTGTGGGCGGTCCCTGAATGGCCTCCAGGAAGACGCCTGGAAGATGGAGGCCCAGATTCTTGAGACGTTTCTCTTTCTGATCTAGCAGGAGGGGCAAAGAGCGCCTTCTCCACTCCCTCATTCCCCAAGACGCCCATCAGCCCACCCAGTTTCCGTGCCCATTCTGCCCTGGGAAAGCGGCTTCCCAGGTACCTTAAATTATAGGTTGAATTTTCCAAACGGAGGCAGGCTTGGGTAGCCTCTGACATGTGGGGAGATACCTTTGAAAGTCTTATCTGCAGCCTTATGCTGCGTCGGGGACTTGGCCTTGTACTCGCAGAGGGCCATGCAGTGATGGGAAGGCTGGGCCTTCTAGTCAAATAGTGAGCCAGGCAGCTTGTTAGTTTCATCAGATCGTGGTCCTCTTGAGATCAAGACCGTACCGTTCAAGACAGCGTATATATTATAAGTTACTAAACTAGATACTGATAGAAATGGAAGGGAGGCCCTCAGTGAGAGCTGTAATAGGTCAAAGAAGGTTACCAGAGGAGGTGAGACTTGAGTAGATCCTTGATGCAAGAGTACATTTGGATATTCAGGGTTAGGGCTGTCAATGCCAGACAATGTTTTGTGACAGTTTGGCAAAAGGGACAGTTACAGAGGACTTCTGGGAGATCTCTGCTAATAACTTTCCTTTCATTACTCCTTCCCTCTTTGCCTTTAATGAATGAATCAGGTGAGGATAAGGAATGTTCTCTTTAGCCTCACCTTGAAATTCAGCTGGAAGCAGCCTCCCCTAGAAATACGGTCTTCATGTATCCAATATAGAACACTCACTGCTGACACCAAAGGCTTAGTTCTAAATTAGTTTCCACAGAAGAAAACTTCCCAGCTATAAATTGATTCCCTAACACCAGCGCATGGACTCATAGATGCCACTAGTAACAAGAACATGGGCAGGTCATCCGGCTCATTCAATACAAACTCCAAACTCACACTGTTAAAACAAAGAACTGCCCAAGAATGTTTAAATAAGTTATATCATTTTCTTTGCATATGAAAGACAGCACTGTCCCCCCAAATGCATACTTTGTTCTGTACACACCAAAGTGAAGAGAAAGAAACCAAAATATAAAATATATAGCACAGAAAATGTTAATTGTAAAAATTAACTTGTAGAACTAAATTGTGAAAGACAAGACATCTACAATAACTGTATTTTATACTCATTTTTGGGAGGGGCACAATGTTTTAGCATACGTTACATAAATGACCCACATTCACTTAAATATGCATATATAAAAGTAGGAGCAAAATAGTCTACATTCCAATAACAATATGCAGACTTAGAAATCTTGGTTAGGAGACAGTTATAGAAACGATCCTATGCTACCAAATTGTTAGTCACTTTTACCCAATACCATATTGAATACTTCTTCCCAATTGATGTTTTATGATTATTAGTTGCATCTTAAATATCTTACCTGAGCTGGATTGCTGCCATCCAAGGCAATGGTTGCATTAGATGCCTTGAAAAGTTAGTTTCTACAGACTTTTCTTCAAAAGTAATAAAAAATAAAACTCATATATAAAAGTCATCAAGATGCATTGCCTACTGAAATAATTTTTTAAAGTAAGTTTTATTTTCTATGTACTACAACTAAAAAATCTAAATAACGACAAAAAATGTGTGTGGCCTAGTTCTGTTGAAAAAAAAAAAAAGAGAGAATGCTTGTTCTTAGGGTTGCTGTTGATTTGGCCTGCAGTTACTAGAGAAACTCCAAGGATCTCATTCCCTTTATGGTTCATGTCTAGGCATGCCTGGAGACCAGGGAGACCCATGATTTAATCTAAGTAAGAATGCTTGTGGTGTTTTAAATGCCCACACAGAAGACTGCATTTGTTTTAGACAGTTCCAGGAAGGCACCTTTTGGGGAATTGTTTACTGTTTAATTTCTGGGCTTTTGGTGATTAGGGAGATGGAAAAGGAGCTGTAAGGATTGATGCGGCTGATGATTAGGAGGACGCCAAGAAGAGTATAAAAAACAAATACCTTCTGTTTTAGTTTTGGCAAATTTATATTGACTTAATTTACCACTTCTAGATACAAGACTAGCTTGCTGGGAGTTGGGAATTAGAAAAGATGGAGACAGGCCAGGTGCGGTGGCTCACGCCTGTGATCCCAGCACTTAGAGAGGCCACAGCAGGTGGATCATGAGGTCAAGAGACTGGGGACATCCTGGCCAACATGGTGAAACCCGTCTCTACTAAAAATACAAAAATTAGCTGGGGGTGGTAGTGTGTGCCTGTAGTCCCAGCTACTCGGGAGGTGGAGGCAGGAGAATTGCTTGAACTTGGGAGGCAGAGGTTGCAGAGAGCGGAGATCGTGCCACTGTACTCCAGACTGGGTGACAGAGCAAGACTGAAAAAAAAAAAAGAAAAGGTGGTGACAATGGAGTCAACATATCTCTCCCTTCAGTGCACACAAACTCACCATCTCCCACAGCTTTTGAAGGATGTTGTTAGAAGAGAAAAAAAAAAAGAACAATTAGACTAACTAGAAATTACTGGATTTTAGCAGCTGCTTTTTAAAGTTGTTTTTTGAGGTGGAGTTTTACTCTTATTGCCCAGGCTGGAGTGCAATGGTGGGATCTCATTCACTGCAATCTCCACCTCCTGGGTTCAAGCGATTCTCCCACCTCAGCCTCCCGAGTAGCTGAGATTACAGATACCTACCACCATGCCCAGCTAATTTTTTGTATTTTTAATACAGATGGGGTTTCTCTATTAAAAATGGAGAAACCAGGCTGGTCTCAAACTCCTGACCTCAGGCGATTCATCTGCCTTGGCCTCCCAAAGTTCTGGGATTACAGGAGCGAGCCACTGCTCCCGGCCTAAATCTGCTTTTTTTTTTTTTTTAAATGCATATTTTCTCTTAGGAAATATAAAACCATATCTTGGTGTATAGACCAATAAATATCAGATGATTAACCTTCATGATAGTATACTTAGAAACTAGTTTATAAATTGAAGTCAATTCAGTACCCTTGAAGAACTAAAAATCACTGAATCTATTTATGAGAGGAGATTTTCTTTTGAGCTAAAATGAGCTGACAGCAGTTTTTATAATTCCATATTTCTAGTTCCATTTCACTGTACTCTCATTAGTAAGAGTGCACCAGATTCTTAATTAGCTTCTTGTTTATATTTATTGATTAATCAATACTGTTGCTTTCAGTATAAAATGTTAAATTAATTTATCTTTCAGGTAAATCACAAGCAGTCTAACAAAAATAGGCTTTATAATTAAAGTTGCTGAAGCTCTTAGTTATGGCTTCAGCAGTAGGAGCAAACAGTTGTATATTTTCCATCTTTAAAGAACAATCTCTAGGGATTTATGTGGTCCCGTTGGTGATATGGACAACGCCTGTATATATAGATAATATAGTTATGTTAATTATATTAGTATGTAATATGAATATATCTTTATATTAATATAACGTTATTAGATTAAATATACATTTATGTTATATATTCTATTTATATTATATATCATTATTAAGTATCAAGATGGTTATATGAAACAATGCTTCAGGAACCCTGCTGACTCATACAACATTATGGCCAACATTTAGGAAAAAGGAAAAGGAAAATTATCAAAGGTTAGGACACAGAGAAGACTATATGGAAAGATGAGACTTAGCTGAGCCTAGAAGCAAAAATACTAGAGATGAAGAGGAGATGTTTTTGGTAGCAGGAGCAATTTGTGGAGGAAAAACACAAGCAAGGTTCTGGAGACTGTAATGTCTGAGGCCAACTGGAAGAGCCATGAGTGTGTTCTCGTTGGGGAAATCAGATTAAAGAGGACTTTAACATTTACAGTCCTCCACCATCCTACTTACCTGCCTGCTCATATGTTGCTATGAAGTTCATCAGAAAAAAAAGACAAAAGGCCCAGAGAATTTCGGTTTCATTATTCTGCTCGAGGAGCCCCAGATGTATAAAATGTGTTGTTTTATGAGAATTAATAAGGTAGCATAGATTAGAAGAGGGAGAGACAGAGGAGACTGAAAGACCATTTAGATTAGTAAATTTCAGCATAAAGTGTTGTAGAAAATATGGGATGAAGAGAGAGACTTTGTGAAGGAAAGTTGCATGACATGGTGGGTAACTGGTTCAAGTGAACACACAGAACAAGATTAACTTCCAGATTTTGATGACAAGTAGAGGTATTGAGAGGGAAAATCTACTCAGAGAATAATTGTGATTGTAGGTGTAGGGATGTTTAGTTTCAGGTGGTGGAAGAATATCGTGGTGGAGTTAGATATGTGGAGTTACAACTCTGGCAGGAGACCAGAACTGAAAGGAGACAATGAAAAGAGACTGAAGCTCTTTTATCCTCTTGCCAGTTGAAGGATAAAGGAGTTCTCCAAGAAAGATATGCTGGCTGATTCTTCATTGACCTACCAGCTCCTGCTATCAAGGATGCCAAAGCAGGTGAGGACAGTAATGTATTAATCTCAAACAGAGAATAGAATGAGGAAAATGGCTCAGGTGCAAATCTGAGAGGATCCCTCTCCTCTTCAGGGACCTACAGGAGGAAGTAAATCTTGGTAAGGGTTAGCCCACAGGAAGCAGAGGAGAGGAGTATCACAAAAACCAAGCTGTTTTTTTTTTTTTTTTTTTTTGAGACGGAGTTTCGCTCTTGTTACCCAGGCTGGAGTGCAATGGCATGATCTCGGCTCACCGCAACCTCCGCCTCCTGGGTTCAGGCAATTCTCCTGCCTCAGCCTCCTGAGTAGCTGGGATTACAGGCACATGCCACCATGCCCAGCTAATTTTTTGTATTTTTAGTAGAGACGGGGTTTCACCATGTTGACCAGGATGGCCTCGATCTCTTGACCTTGTGATCCACCCGCTTCGGCCTCCCAAAGTGCTGGGATTACAGGCTTGAGCCACCGCGCCCGGCCTACCAAGCTGTTTTAAAATTCATATGCTTGTGAATTCAAGAGAATCTGCTGCCTCGGCACCACCACATCATCAAGGTTTGGTCAGTAGAATTAGCAATAGGCAGCAGACGATTGGATTGGCTCTACCAGAGTTTTTTTGTCCAAGGCTTTATTCATTGAGTCAGTGAAGGATCAATGATCTTCTCTAGGTTAGAACTAAACAGATGAACTTTCCTGGCCTTGTCCCACTACTAATTGGCCTCTATCATCTTTCCAAACAAAATAAAACAAAAAACATTCAGGTAGAGTTTCAGGTTTCTAAAAGTAATTTTAAGGTTTCAATAAGCTAGTTAGTAGTCTGGATGCACAGTTGAAGAAGGTGTATTCTCTTTCTTAAGAGCTCTAGAGTGTATTCTGTAACTCTGTTTAGCCAAAAGGAGAAAACAGACTGATTATCCTGTTAATTAATTGATTTACAAGAATGAAAATACTTTATGCCATCCTCTTAAACATCATTCTATGTCTGCTTATTCTTGTTTTTATTTCCACTGTCCTCATTCGGCACTTAAGTTTTTTTTAAAGTGGAAAATTTATATTTCATTTAAAAAATTTACATAATCCTCATTTGTTATCTTTATTTCGTCTGTATTTATAGAATATATCTCAAGGATTTCATCTTGCTTACTTTTGGCGAAGTTCATATTGTCCTTCCTGCTCTTAGCTCCTTGATAGTTTGTTGAAATCTCAAGCTTAAATTCCTCTTCCTGGGTAAAATCTTCCCAGTACTTTTAGTTCATTGTGATCCTTTCTCTTCTCTAATCCCTCTTACACTTAATACACTTATTTACACTTAATACTCTAAAGTTAGTATGTTCCATTAGTAAGAAAGTATCATTCTCCTATATTCTGATTGTGTTTTTAATTTGGCATTTTATTGTAATAGTATAGAGTGCTGACACATATATACACATTTATTATATTAGTATAGAGTGATGTACGTTTTCTTACACTCTGAATTATTTTAGTGAATTATCTTTTTTTTAAAGGGTACATATGCTTGTTTGTTACATAGGTATTACATGCATAATGTTGGGTGCTGGGCTTCTGCTGTACTCATCACCCCAATATTAGGCATTGTATCCAGTAGGTAATTTTTCAACCCTTCCCACCCACCTTTGGAGTACCTCGAGTCTGTTTTCTCTATCTTCATTTCCACATGCACCATTTGTTTAGCTTACACTTATAAGTGAGAATATTTAATATTTTTTTACCTCTGGATTGGTTCACTTGGGGTAATGGCCTCCGGCTTCATCCATGTTGCTGCAAAGGACATGATTTCATTCTTCTTTTATGACTGTGTAGTATTCTATGGTGTATATATACAGCATATTTTCTTTACCCAATCCACAGTTGGTAGACATTTAGGTAGGTTCCATGACTTTGCTCTAATTGTAAATGGTGTTGCAATAAATCCACAAGTGTCTTTTTAATGTAATGATTTCTTTTCCTTTGGTTAGATATCCAGTAGTGGGATTACTGAGTGGAATGATAGTTCTATTTTTGGTTCTATGAGATATCTCTACACGGTGTCCCATAGAGGTTGAATTGATTTTCATTCCCCCCAACAGTGTGTAAGCATTCCCTTTTCTCTGCATACATGCCAACATATGCTGTTTTTTGACTTTTTAATAAAAGCCATTCTGACTGGAGTGGGATGGTATCTCAATGTGGTTTTAATTTGAATTTCTCTGATTATTAGTGATGTGCATTTTGTCATATGTTTGTTAGCTGTTTGTATTTCTTCTTTTGAGAAATGGCTGTTCATGTCCTTCACCCATTTTCAATGGGTTTGTTTTTGTTTGTTGTTTGAATTTCTTGTAGATTCTGGATACTAATTCTTTGTTGGAAGTATAATTTGTAAACATTTTCTCCCATTCTGTGGATTGTCTTTTTGTCCTATTGATTATTTATTTTACTGTGCAGAAACTTTTAGGTTATGTCCTGTCTCTCTATCTTTGTTTTTATTGCATTTGTGTTTGGAATCTTCATCATAAATTATTTGTCTAAGCCAATGTCTGTAAGGGACTTTCCTAGGTTTTCTTTTAGGATTTTTATAGTTTCAGTTTTATAGTTTTACATTTAGGTCTTTAATCCATCTGTAGGTAATTTTGTATATGTTAAGAGATAGAGATTTAGTTTCAATCTTCGGACTATGGCTAGCCAGTTTTCCCAGCTTCATTTATTGAATAGGGTATCTTGTTTCCCATTGTTTATTTTTGTTGACTTTAATTGAAGATCAGTTGGCTGTAGCTTTATTTCTGGGTTAGAGAACCCTATACTGTATCATTAATCTCTGGGTCTGTTTTTGTACCAGGACCTTGCTGTTTTAGTTACTATAGCCTTATAGTATAATTCAAAATCAGGCAGTATAATGCCTCTGACTTTGTTCTTTTTGCTTAGGCGTTCTTTGGCTATTTGGGCTTTTTTTGGGTCCAAAACTTTAGGATTGTTTTTCCTAATTCTGTGAAAAATGAGGCTGGTAATTTGATAGGGATTGCATTGAATTTGTAGATTGCTTGAGCAAGTGGTTATTTTAACCATATTAGTTCTTCCAGTCCATGAGCATGAAATGTTTTTCCACTTATTTGTGTCATCTACGGTTTCTTTCATCAGTGTTTTGTAGTTCTCCTTGTAGAGATCTTTCACTTCCTTGGTTAAATGTATTCCTAGATAGTTTGCTCTTTTTTTTTTTGTGGCTACTGTAAATGGGATTGGGTTCTTAATTTGGTTCTTGGCTTGGGTATTATTATTTATAGAAATGCTACTGATTTTGTACATTGATTTTGTATCCTGAGACTTTACTGAAGTTGTTAATCAGGTCAAGGAGTTTTCTAGAGGAGTCTTTAGGGTTTTCTAGGTATACAATCATATTGTCAGTGAACAGAGATAATTTGACTTACTTTTCCAATTTGAATGCCTTTTATTTCTTCTTTCTCTTGCCTGATAGCTCTGGTAGGACTTCAGGTACTATGTTGAATAGGAGTTATCTTGATTTCTAACTTGAAACGTTATATAAGTGTATGTATCTTTTGTGCTCTTTGAAACAATGTCACTTACATTGTGAATGCTCAGTACACACATAGAAAATACAAATTAGGAAGAAGGCTTGTGGCAAATAAAACACTTGCATAGTATGTAAAGGAATTTTACTTTGATCAGGCTATGCTAAAATTAACTTCTGCGTTCAAATCAACATTGTATGGCTGTAGAATTTTATTAGGTAGAGTGTTGGGATATGCAATTTTGTTTCAGCAATTAGTGTAACTTCCTTTTATGTGATGACCATAATGGAACTAAGTTTATGTGTGGGTAGAATCAGTTCATTGTTTTATAAAATAGTGCTACTTGCTTGCTGTTATTAAAAGAATATAGTTCTGGCCGGGTGCGATGGCTCACACCTATAATCCCAGCACTTTGGGAGGCCCAGGCTGGTGGATCATGAGGTCAAGAGATCGAGACCATCCTCGTCAACAAGGTGAAACCCCGTCTCTACTAAAAATACAAAAATTAGCTGGGCATGGTGGCGCGTGCCTGTAATCCCAGCTACTCAGGAGGCTGAGGCAGGAGAATTGCTTGAACCCAGGAGGCGGAGGTTGTGGTGAGCCGAGATCGCGCCATTGCACTCCAGTCTGGGTAACAACAGCAAAACTCCATCTCAAAAAAAAAGAATATAGTTCTGTCACAAGTGGAATTTTGCTAAAACATCTATACCTTTCCCTTCTTTGGCAATGGCATGTATTTGCAAACGGATGGCTGAACCTAGGGATATAAGTTGTAGTTTAGGGAGGGAAGCTAAAGAAATGAAATGGGGTTATAAGAATGGTTATTATATCATAAGTCCAGCAAACAATATTCAATTCAGAGGATATTTCAAACTTATTTTGCCTATTTCTAAACTTGTATAAGCATAAATATTTTCATTTTAAAAGTGAAATTTTGCTAAAATGCAGAAGACAAATGTAGAACCGGATTTTTGACTTTCATCTTCATTGATGAACTTTGGGTCTTGACTATTCCTTAGCCATCAAGTTGAATTTCCTCAGTTTAAAATGAAGAATGCAATTCTAGAAACTGTTACTTGTACAAGGTCATTTCAGCCATATTCATGTTTTATACCATTTGATTCTCTGTTACAGACATAATGGGAAGTAAAATATGTCTTTGCTTCTTCACCTCCTTTCTGTTCTCTATCCTCATTCCAAATGGCAAGAACCTCCTATTTCTTGTTTTGTGTGGTTCTTTACCCGGAAATAATCCCCTCACCCAAACAGAACACCATCCTGTTGCTCTACTACAGACAGCTCATCAGACATTTTCAAAAAGAAATCCTTAAAAGACAAGGTTTTACGCAAGGGAACAAACTGTCTTATAGTGAGAATTTTAGACCTTACACAGGACAGTGGGAGAGTTGTTCAAATTGCAGCAGTCACTTTTACTTCTACTTAGCTGGGAATTGGCTTAGGCCAGCCCAGGTTGGGCTTTCTGCTAAATTCTAACATCTTGTCAGTGGACATTACTACTTGGGTATTTAATTGCCATTGAAAGCTTAGCGTACCTCAATCTGAATGAATCACCATCTGTTTTATGCTGACTCTTCCACTGAACTTCACTCTTTCAATGATAACATTAATCTCTTGGTCATTAGTATTTTGGAATAAATTTTAAGTATTTAGTTTCCCAGACTTTACATCCAAGTAGTCCCTTGTGCATATATTTGATTTCCTTCTCTAGATGATAAGCCTCTTGAAAGGAAAGTTGAATTTTGTTTTTATCCCCAGCCCCACTAATATTTAGTGTCTGCGTAGTAGGTGGTCAGTAAATAGTCACTGAGTATTAATTAAAACAGAAGGTGTAGTTGTCATTAATGTAAAGGAGGTGATTTAAACAAGGTGTTTCAAGTCATAAACAAGTAACCGAAGGAAATCTTGCATGATGTTTACTTTTTATTTGATTGTTCTTCCCTGAAATCTAAGTAGATTGTTATTCTACCATTCTATTCATAAATTCCAAGGCCTGCCTGGGCCTGTTGCAGAAAATAACGCTAGGAGAGGGTTCAAAACATCATCAGTTAACGTACTTCACCAACTCAAAGTGCAAGGGAACAGTTTGTCATCGGGAATATGAAGTCATGAGAATTATTCAACACCTGGCACCACTCTATTATTGTATATGCAAACTAACCATTTGAAAAGAAAAAAATTGTGTTTGCTAATGCATCTGTTGCCTTTAATTCAGAAGCAACATTTCAGCAGTATATAGGGAGTTACCCTACTTTTCAGCTTTGTCCCTTTTAACCTAAATTAAAAAAAATAATCTTTGCAAAAGTTACCCCAGCAAACGGCTCGGAAAATATGAGAATAAATGATGCAAATTTGTCCTAATAATCTGTTAAATTTATGGCATTATTAAGCAATCAAAAGTGTGAAATAAGCTTGAAAGCTTCACAACTAAGGCGGTGTGTATCTTAATGATTTCCATTTTTGCTTCACATTGGAATCACTTGGGAAACTTAAAAATCCTGATGTGCAGGTCGCACTACATCCCAGTTAAGTCTTGGCCAGGCATGGTGGCTCACACCTATAATCCCGGCATTTTGAGAGGCCAAGGCAGGAGGGGTTCTTGAGCCCAGGAGTTCAAGACCAGCCTGGGCAACATAGGGAGACCCCCGTCTCTATTGAAAAAAGAAAGAATGTCTGGGGTAAGGGAGAGGAGGCAGACATTGCTATTTTTAAAAGATCTTCAGGTGGTTCCAAAGTGCAACAGTTTGTGTGCCCCAGCCACTGAGGAAGAGGAATGAGAACATGGACAGATGAAACAAACAAAAACTATGGAATTGGAAGATTTTTAAGGTCCCACTTTCACTTTTGTTTATTTTAATATGTTCTGGGTACATAGAAGACGTTTAAATAGTTACTAAATTGAATTAATCTTACTTAAATCTTAAATCATATTCTTAGAAATCAAGATGCTCAGCCATCCAATTTCATAGTTCTTTTAAACAATTAAAAAAATTGATATATAATGTATTTTGGGGGTACGTATAATATTTTAATACTTGTAGATAATGTATAATGATCAAATTAGATAATTGGGATAACATTACCTCAAATGTTTATCTTTTGTGTTTTGAGAACATTACAAATTTTCTAGCTATTTTGAAATATACAACGATTGTTACCTATAATTTCTCTACTGTACTAGAATACTAGAACTAATTCCTTCTATCCACTTTTGTATCCTTAACCAACTTTGATAATCCTTATACTTACCATTTCATATACCTCTCAAGCATCAAAGACATTACAATAGCCAGCACACTACCTAATATATGTATTTCATCTCAGTTCATCAGTGGTGAAAGGTTTAAAAAATTTTTTTGAGACAGGGTCTTTGCTCTTTTGCTCAGGATGGAGTGCAGTGACACAATCACAACTCATAGCTTACTGCAGCCTCGAACTCCTGGTCTTAAGTGATCTTTCCACCTTAGCCTTTCTAGAAGGCTACAGGTACATGCCACACCAAGCTGACTTTTAAAATTTTTATAGAGACCGGGGTCTTACTGAGTTGCCCAGGCTGGCCTCGAACTCCTGACCGCAAGTGATCCTTTTGCCTGGGCCCAAAGTGTTTGCATTACAGGCATGAGGCCCTCTGCCCAGCTCAAGAGCAAGTGCTTTAGTGTTATCTATTACAATCTTAATAACAACCTAATGAGGTTGCTATTGTACCTCCCATTTCACAGGCAGAAAATTAAGTTGCCCAAGGTTACACAGATGGTGAGCCCTAAAGTTGCAGTTCCCACCCAGGTGTATCTGATCTTAATGCCCATATTTTTAAACTCTGTATTGTGCAGGAAGGGAAAGATAGGACAACATGATAGCATTAGTGAAAAAGAGTGCATGCAAGTTCAATGTGAGTCAATGGTATGATGCAATAGCCAACAAGGTAAAAACCACCTGAGGCTGTGTTCTGGAGTACAGTATTCAGAGGAAGGGAAGCAACAGTCCCGTGACAGTCTCTAGGGGTGGAGCACACCTGGAGCATCGTGTGCAAGTCTGAGCCTCACACTGGAAAAAGAGGATTACTCACACACCTGACACTCATTGTGATGGTACCCAGCATGGTGAGCTGAGTCTATAGGAGGAAATATAAAAAAGCTGAGACTCTTTAGGCTCCACAAAGAGAAGGCTGAGGGAGGCTGAGTAGCTAGTATTTGAAATGTCATCAAGTGGTGGAATATTAGACACAACTGGTGTAGTTCCAGAAGGAAACTAGGCTGCATGTGCAGAAAAATCAGAGGTAGATTAGGCTCCACATAGATAGGAAGTGCTGGCTGTTATTTGGAGCTTTTTAGAAATGAAATGGACTTCTTTGTAAGACAGTGAGTTCTTTTTCACTAATGAAGAAACGGAATGATCACTAATTATGAGCATTAAAGACTTATGTATATCAGGTGTGGTGGTTCTTAATTCTTAGTGGGTATTAGAATCACCTGGGGGAACTTGGTAACTACTGATTGCCAGCCCTTACCTTGAGAAGAGTTGCTTCAGCAGATCTGAAATAAGGTCCAAGAATCTGAATTTAAAAATTAAAAAAAACATTTGTTTTTTGACACAGTGTCTTGCTCTGTCACCCAATCTGGAGTGCAGTGGTATGATCTTGGCTCACTGCAACCTCCCCTCCTGGGTTCAACCCTCCTGGGTTCAATTCTCCTGCCTCAGCCTCCTGAGTAGCTGGGATTACAGGCACCCATCACTATGCCTGGCTAATTTTTGTATTTTTATTAGAGATGGGGTTTCACCATGTTGGCCAGAATGGTCTTGAACTCCTGGCCTCAGGTGATCTGCTCGTGTCGGCTTCCCAAAGTGCTGGGATTACAGGCATGAGCCCAGCCAAGAATCTGAATTTTTAACAAGCAATATGAGTCCAGATCAAGTGGTCACTGACCCACCCTTTGAGAACTGATGAGGTTAGATAAGCTCAGATCTCTTCTACTTGTCCTACAAATAAACACTTTAGTAAAAATGTGTTGTTAACATAACAACTGCTCAAAGTGGTCCTCACAAGTTTTGTAAGAAATTGAAGGCAGAATTCTTTAATATGTTAACAGCTAAGTTAGAGATGACATTATTGGAATGTATGATATAAGGATACGGAAGAAGAATTCTTGATTCTCACTCTGTTATAAAAGATAAGATTATAATAGCAAAATAGAAAATATAGATCCAGTTTGAAATTTTTAAACACTTTAAACAGAGAACCAACTCCACTTATGCCAAGGAGCAATCAGATGGAGACCAGATTGGTATATGAAGAAGCTATATGATTATCTCGATAGACAGCGCCTGTGTGAGGTGAAACACCCATCAGCCTTTAGGGCCCAGGCTTATATAAACTTCAGCCTCAAACTCATCAGCAGGTGTGGGTGAGACTTGGAAACAAAGGGGATTGTGCAGTTGGTCTTTTGTCTCTTTTCTTGAGGGCTAAAGAGCTTTTGTTGGCAAGTAATGTGTTTGTTTATTCTTAAAGCATGCAACCTGTGAGCCACATTTTGGAATTACTCTCCCCTGAAATATTTTGCTCTTTGTTGATATATCTTTAAAAAGTGATGCTTAAGGTAATTACTGTTCCATATGCGGATATTTTAAAGTTGCACAGTGATGTTTCATTTATTACTAAGTGCTTTAAAATTTTAAAAAGACTTTTCTTTTTCTTTGAAAACCTTTAAAAATGGGCTGTTTGAGGAATTGCTGTTCTTGGCTGTTATGTTGATTTATAGTGTTCATGTACTTGTCTAGTTTACTAAATACTTTCTAGCAATTTATCTCTGTTTTACTTTTAAGGCATGTAAAATTTCTAAATGGCAATTGAATATTGAGAATAAGTTAAACATTTGTTTCTATTTCTTCTTGCTCCCTTTAAATGATTTCAGACCTTCTTATTTTTCTTGAATCATGAGGGATGAAATTGCAACAACAGTTTTCTTTGTCACAAGATTGGTGAAAAAACATAATAAACTAAGCAAAAAGCAAATAGAAGACTTTGCAGAAAAGCTGATGACGATCTTGTTTGAAACATACAGAAGTCACTGGCACTCTGATTGCCCTTCTAAAGGGCAAGCCTTCAGGTGAGAGCTAGCACACGGGATGGCAAAGGGACGTAATCACCAAGCAACAGCCAACTCCTAAGAAAATGGAGTGATCTTGTTTTCTGTATATAATAATGAAAATTTTATAGGCTCGACTTCACATTTGTTTGAATGTGGACTCGAAAGGAGGAGACATAGTAGATGACAGTGTGAATGGAAACAACAGAAAAACCCTCTTATGTGAGGGGGATGAAGCAATTTCTAGTTTGTGTTTGCCATGGAAGATAAGCTGTGAATATCGGGTAAACTAATTTTGTGACTTGGTGATGCAACGGACATTCTGAGCCACTGGATCGAAAGTTGATGATGTCTGACTTGTAAGAGTGGAGGGTGGGGGAGGCTGAGGGGAAGGTAGGGGTGAGGTGGGAGCTATGTGTACTGGAACAGTGTGTGCACAATGTAATTTTCCTGGTAAAGTACCTGCTATCATGTCTTCATCTCCCTTCACTTTTTTTTTTTTAAAAGGTGCATCAGGATAAACAACAATCAGAATAAAGATCCCATTCTAGAAAGGGCGTGTGCGGAGAGTAAGGTGGATTTTTTTCACCTGGGACTTCCAAAGGAGCTGACCATATGGGTAGATCCCTTTGAAGTGTGCTGTCGGTGAGTGATCTCATAGTTTGTGTGCTGTGTGGTTCCTGGAAACCTCAGGTTAGACAACCTCATATACCTTCATAAAAGATGATGCCCCAAAGCTTTGAGTTAGCAGCAGGGACGCTTCTTGGTTAAGATTTTAGATACAAACTTCTGTTAGAAATGCAGACTTCTATTCAAAGTGGGTGGAGTGGAAAGCACAATGATTTTGCAAAATATTTGAAATCTGGCTTTAATCACTGCACCGTGTTACAAACTGTAGATTGGTAACGGTATCTATTACAAACCATAGGTTGATAGCAGATAAGTATTATAGGCAATATCAGAAAGGAAGAAGAGTTATCTACTATGGGACAATTCAGTTAACTGAATCAAAAGAAACTAGTCTGCTTTTTTCTGAACCATTAACCAAAATAGCTCTTATAGAATATCCTCATTTATAACAGTGTAGTAGGTGAAGATCATAATGTCCTTCAATTTTTTAAGGCAATTTCTTTTAAAATAAGTTAGCATATAGGTGGGTGTTGAACAATGAGAACACATGGACACAGGGAGGGGAGCATCACACACTGGGGTCTGTTGTGGGGGAAATAGGGGAGGGACAGCAGGGGGTGGGGAGCTGGGGACAGATAGCATGGGGGGGAAATGCCAGATATAGGTGGAGGGGAGGACGGCAGCAAATCACACTGCCATGTGTGTACCTATGCAACAATCTTGCATGTCCTTCACAAGTACCCCAAAACCTAAACTGCGATTAAAAAAAACTTGTAGGAAGTTGAATCCCTAATCAGCACTTAAACTTCTTTTCCTACTTAGGTATGGTGAGAAAAGTCATCCATTTACAGTTGCTTCTTTTAAAGGCAGATGGGAGGAATGGGAGCTGTATCAACAGATCAGTTATGCAGTTAGTAGAGCCTCATCAGACGATTCCTCTGGCACTTCCTGCAATGAAGAAAGTTGTGGCAAGGAACCTCACGTCATTCCTAAAGTCAGCAATCCAAAGAGTATTTATCAGGTCCAGTGTGTTCCAGTTCTTTTTTTATACTTTTTACTCTCTAATTCTAAAAAGAATGTACTTGTTATAAAAACAAAGAAGCAAACAAAACATGGAAAGAACAAAACTATAAAGATTTTTAAGCCACAGTCTTAGTATTTTGGCAAAACTTTTTCTATCTCCTTCACTGCACAGAGTATTCCATACACTTGACTGAGCTTTTAGGATCTCCCCTAGTCTTTTATTGTCCTCTTTCTTCATACAGTATTTGAAGACACACAGGTTTCCTTTCACTTAAATTCCTGCATAATCAAAGATTAGGTTGGTGGGCTGGCTTGCCCTTCCTTCCCTTCCTTCCGTCTTTCCTTCTTTCTTTCTTTCGTTAATTGAAAATACCATGGCATTTATAGAAAATTTGGACTGAGGAAAGGCCAAATGGCTATAAATTCTGCCACGAGCAGTTTTTCTCAACTTTTTTCTTCTTTTTAAACCACAGCCCATTGAAAGATATGCATATTTATATTTAAAAAGTTTCATGAAACAGTACTTATATTTACTAGAAGCAATGCTCCCAACACTTCCAATTAAATTAATTTGATTTCAAGCATCTAAACTGATTTCATGGCCCACAATTTGAAAAACACTGATCTACAGAGAATTTAATATATGTATATACTTGTCTGTATATTCTCTTAATCACCTATGTATTACATGTTAAAGCAATTAACATTTTAATATTCATTTGTCTCCCTTGTAACTTATCATTGGCAGACATTCTCGATTGTTTCCACATGGTTGTAACATTTTTTAAAACGCTGATAACTTGTAGAGTGATGGCTGAATTTTAGGTTATTTCTTGAGGTTTGATTCTCAAGCACAGAACTACTGGGTCACTGAGTGTGAATATTTTTCTGGTCTTTAACATATAGCTGAGACACCACATAGAAAATTGTATTTATTTGTAGTCTCACCAGCTGTATGTAAAAATGCCTTTCTCTAGAATCAGCTATTCTCATTAAAAAAACAGATGATTAGATTAACATGATATGCATATATAATACAGTATTAGTGAAATTAAACAATGAAATTTCCATGTGCCCAAATGTTTTAGCACCTACTGTCTTACAGATTTTCCCTTCTTCACCCATTCATTATTTGAAGTTCTAATGTTATTACAGGTTCCTTATATGCCAGAACTATCTTAACTCCTTGTCTTATCTCTGGCAAATGTTTTGTCCCTGGTTTTTAAAACTATTTGTATCATTATAGTTTCTTGGAAACAGTGACTTTAAGTAAAATGATGTATGACAAAGCCATTTTTTTCTCAGTGTTATTACCAAACTATGTTATTCAAAGACCCGCTCTATGTCATTTCACTTAAAATTGGTTTCCAAGAAATGTTGAATGAGGGTTTATGGTATTTGCCCTTAATTCTATTTTTATGCTTAGAAAGGTCTTCTTCCATTTGGGGATCAGACCTGTAATCAGCTACATTCTTTTACAGCAGTGTCTTTTCAAAGTGTGATCTGTAAAAAAGGATCTATCAGTCATCTTAGGTGTTAAAAATGAAGATTTCTAGGCTGTGGTTCCAAAGATCATGAACCTGCAGTTTTGCATTGGCTGGAGGGGGTGAGATAGGGATGGAAGTCAACCACTCAAGAATAAACACTCACTTGGATAAGTGTATTAAAAAGTTTTTAGTTAAATTAATTAACTTCTTAAAAAGGTACAGTATAAAGTGACTTATGTCCCCACCAAGTGCTAGAGAATTTTTCAAAGATGGTTATGTACTTTCAATTCTCTTCATTTTTGCTCCCTGTGCTTTTGAAGGGCCTGACTTTTGAATTATGGGTTCCTATTTAGTCCTTACAGCTAGCTTGTTAGAGATCTTTATTTATTTATTTTTTTTCAGGTTGAAAACTTGAAACAGCCCTTTCAATCTTGGTTCCAAATAGCCCGCAAAAAGAATGTTGTGGACAGCCGTGTTGGCCTCCTGGCTTACACTTACCATGGCTCGCAGAAGCACCCTAAGTGTTACAGGCCTGCTGTGCACCGGGTGGACAGGTACCACTGGGTCAACACACGCCGATGATGCAGTGACTGGGCACATGGCGGGCGAGAGCTCAAAGGAGCACTTTTATTCTCTCTAAAATAAAAATGAGTTTAAGGTTGAGAGGCCCGTGAAACAAAAAATGACTGTATTAGGGACTAGGGTGCACAATGGCAAATCCTCTCATACAGATCCTGACTCTGTTCTTAGCTGTTCTTTTAATTCTTATTTAATTTAAATGAAGTTTTATGTAATATTCGTGAATGTACCCAGTAAGGTAATGGAATGAAGATACTGACCTGTAATAAGACTCGGAAAAGTAATGGTTTAAATAAATGTCCTGTGTTTTTAATACTTCTTAGTTCAGTTTGTTGCGAGAAACAAACTTTTAAAAGTTGTTTATTTTTTTTGCAAAGGAGTCTCTCTCTCTCTTGCCCAGGCTGGTCTCAAACTCCTGAGCTCAAGCAATCCTCCTGTCTCAGCCTCCCAAAGTGTTGGGATTACAGGCGTGAGCCACGTCGCCCAGCCCCCATTCATTCTTACTCCCCTCACCCTGAACCACTTGATAGAGGGAAAGCTGATGACTCTCTCTACAATTTGATAGCAGTGAGAATTCTTTTGGCTGCTACTTTTCAATGTTTATGGTATGACGAAATGCCCCTTAGGCTGCTGCTGGTGAATTTTATCTTTGCTAGATTTTACAGATTTTAAAATTAGAAAGGGAGATTCTACAATCTAGCTTCACTTTACTCACCCAAAATAGTCTGACTCTTCTAAATTCTGTGTCTCTAGTTGTCAGAAAATTCCCAAAACCCTGTTGACTGGACCCATTCCTACTCATGCTATGTGTTCTCAGCTGGGCCCTTGCTGTTGTTCAGAGCGCCTATTAATCTCCACTTAAGCCATATTGTAGCTGTCTCCTCAATCTGTTTTACTCCATTTTACTGTGCTCTCAGCGGGAGACTTGTTCTTTTTGTTTTCTTCTACTTCAAAACTTTATCCCTATCTTCTCTCTCATCTCCATTTTAAGGCTTTTCTTTTCTCCAGCTACTTGTATCTTCTCTCTACATCTGGGTTTTCTTGCTGAGTTTCCACTGTTGGGTGGTGCTGGATCCAGGAAGCTGGTAGCATTGGAGAAGTCACAGCTCAGTTCTCTTGTGAGTAGACTTGTGCTTTGGGCCAATGGCTCTGAGTGGATATGAAAAGCTATGACCTTGAGTCCCAACCTCAGGTAGGACATGCCAACACTCATGCCAGTGCTGATGAAGGGGGCTTGATGCTAGCCTCACTACTTTGGGTGAAGCTCTTTTTTCTTTTTTTCTACAAATGATGGTTCATTAAGGCACATAGCATTTTTCGGGGGAAAAACTCACCTACCCTTAATGGCTTATAAGGTCAAGTTTCTTGGTGCTGAAAAGTGAGTTTGTCCTTTCTTGAAGAGCTTTCTGTTAGAGTGTGGCAGTTGTAGTGAATCTTCCCAGATTTCTCTAAAGGCAACCACAATGCTAGTTTATTGACCCCTCAGCAGAGCATCTCCTGGAGGTGGTTGTGATGTTTGCCAGCTTCCATACGTGTGTGGGTGAATTCTGGTGTCCAGAAAACGGGGCAAAAACAAGACTACCAGCAATGGGTGTAAGTATTAGGCTTTAGATACTGGCATGCATGTGAATGTACTTCCGTTTAGTCCTTAACCATCAAGTTGGAATTTCTGGTAGCATTTCATTTTCTCTGCCTCCCTGCCTTCTACCCTTGTGCAGACGATTGTCGTTAGTTACCTGATGATTGCAGCAGTCTACTGACAACAATATCTGTTTCCGGTTTTGTTCCTCGTCCTAAAATAATCTTTACTCTCCAGTTTCAAATGTTTCAATCAGGAAAATGTTCAAATTCTGGAATATGGTTTCTGTTCTTAATGACTTGAGTTCCTGCATATCTTTCCAGCCTAACCTCAGCTCTCCTTTCAGACTGTTTATTTTTTTCTCCTTTGAGACAGAGTCTCACTTTGTTGCCCAGGTTGGAGTGCAGTAGCGAGATCTTTGCTCATTGCAACCTTGCCTCCCGGGTTCAAGCGATTCTCGTGCCTCAGCCTCCAGAGTAGTTGGACTACAGACGTGTGCCACCACCACACCCAGGTCATTTTTGCATTTTCAGTAGAGACAGTGTCTCACTACATTGGCCAGGCTGGTCTCGAGCTCCTGGCCTCAAGTGATCTGCCCATCTTGGCCTCCCAAAGTGCTGGGATTACTTGGGACTCTGGTATTGAAGTGTTCTTTATTAGGATACTTCTCATCTTGCCTCTTTGTTCTCCCTTTCCTCTTGATCTTTGGGTACCACTTGAGATGCCTTCTCTTCCAGGAAGACTTTCTGATCCCCAAGTTCAGTTTATAGGCATATGTTAGGGGTTCCTTACAACATTTTATCTGCCCCCAGAAGAGCACTTACCCATTATAATTGTTTCATAGTTATCAGTATCCTCTCAATAGACTGAGTTTTCAGAGTACAGATACCTCATATTGTCATTTAACCTTGGCAATATAGCAGTGTCCATATTTATAGACTGAATGACTTTATTGGTGATTAAATGGTTGCCTAATATAAAATCTGATACACAGCATTAAATAATGCTTGTTGGTTGATCATTCTCTCAGTGGAGTAAGAAGTATTGTGTTCTAATTGCTGGAAAAGTCTGAAGCTTTTTGGTCTTTACGTGTACAATTATTGGACAAAAAAAATCAACCATATATAATAGTCACTAAATATAAAATGCAGCATAATATTTGGATATGTCAGAAGAATGGGTGATTTTTCAAGAACCTTTACACAGAGAGTTTTATTAATGAAATGTCCCTTGTAGTTTGCAAGGTTGGTTTAAAAAAATGACTTCTAGCCAGCACTGTACCACTAAACCCCATGCTGCTGATGGACGCTGCTAGTCAATCACAATGTCCCGATTTGGGTTCACAGATTGCCTCATAATTCTTGTAGCACAGCACTTGACCATTTTAATTAATTGTTCCAAGTTGGTACTCAAGAAGAAACCGATGCCACAATGTGCTAGGGTTTGGCTGAGAAGCCATCCATGAGCCTTTGAGCCCTGTGTAACCCTCTCAGGATTACAGCCTCCTCTCAGGAGGCTCTGAGCAAATGTGTAGGGGGAAAAATATAATCAACGATTCATTTTTACTGTGATTAAAAGTAGTCAATATACTTGAAAAGCCCCTAAATACCTTAGTATCCTATTAGTATATTTGTATAATAACCAAATTAGCTCTTCCTGATCTATAATTTGAAAATTTTCTGTGATGAATAGGTACCATTTATTTATTTATTTTTCTTTCTTTCTTTCTTTCTTTTTTTTTTTGAGATCTGGTCTCACTCTGTCACGGAGGCTGGAGTGCAGTGGTGCAATCATAGCTCACTGCAGCCTTGATCTCCCTGGCTCAAGTGGTCCTCTTGCCTCAGCCTCCTGAGTAGCTGGGACTACAGGCACTTGGCTAATTTTTGATTTTTAGTAGAGAACGAGGTCTCGCTATGTTGACCAGGCTGGCCTTGAACTCTTGAGCTCAAGGGATCCTCCTGCTTTAGCTTCCCAAAGTGCTGGGATTACAGGAATGAGCCATTGTGCCTTCTCTTCTCTCCCCTCCCTCCTCCCTCCTCCCTCCTCCCTCCTCCCTTTTCCCTCCTCCCTCCTCCCTTTTCCCTCCTCCCTCCTCCCTTTTCCCTCCTCCCTCCTCTCCCCTCCTTTTCTTGATAGAGTCTTGCTCTGTTGCCTAGGCTGGAGTGCAGTGGTGTGATCTCGGCTCACTGCAACCTCTGCTTCCCTGGGTGCAAGCAATTTTCTGCCTCAGCCTCCTGAGTAGCTGGGATTACAGGTACCCACCAACATGCCAGGCTAACTTTTTTTTTTTTTTGTATTTTTAGTAGAGACAGGATTTCACCATCTTGGCCAGGCTGGTCTTGAACTCCTGACCTCGTGATCCACCCACTTCAGCCTCCCAAAGTGCTGGGTTTACAGGGGTGAGCCACTGCACCTGGCCTCTTTCTTTTTTTAAAAAAATTTTTTTATCTTGAGGTAATTATGAATTCACATGTATTTGTAGGAAATAACATAGATCCCATGTATTCTTTTACCTAGTTTCCTCCACTGGCAACACTTTGCAAAACTTGAGTACAGCATCACAACCAGATAGTGGCATTGCTATAGTCAAGATACAGAACATTTCCATCAGCACAAGAATTCGTCTTGTTGCCCTTTTATAGTTGCACACACTTCCTCCCACTCCCATCCCTTGGCAACCACTAATCTTTCCCCTGTTCTTTTAATTTTGTGATCTCAAGAATGTTATAAATGAATCATACCATAGGTAACCTTTTGGGATTGGCTCTTTTCACTAAGTGTAGTTCATTGGAGATTCCTCCAGGTTGCTGTGTGTATTGGTAGTTTATTCCTTACTGCTGAGTAGTATTCCATGGTATGGATATATCATCAGTTTAGCCTTTACCTGTGAAAGAACAACTGGATTGCTTCTGGATATTAGGAATAAGGCTGCTACAAACATTTGTGTATACAATGTGTGAACATAGGCGTTTATTCCAGAGAAATAGAAACACATGAGTGCAATTAATGGGTCATATAGTGGTTGCATGCTTAGTTTTTAAAGAAACCACCATTTTATGTTCCCATCAGCAATGCATGAGTGATTCAGCTTTTCCACATACTTATCAGTCTTTGGTGTCATAATTTTTTATTTCTGCCATTCTGATAGGCGTGTAGGATATCTCATTATGGTTTTAATTTACATGTCCCTCATGGCTAGCGATGTTGAACATCTTGTGCTCATTTGGTATCTGCACATCCTATTTGATGAAATATCTGTGTAAGTCTTCTGACCGTTTTCTAATTGAGTGCATTACTTTTCCTCTGAGTTTTGAGAGTACTTGATATATTCTAGACAGTGGTCCCTTTGTCAGATGCGTGATTTGAAACTGTTTTCTTCCAGTTTGTACCTCATAC